CTCCAAACGTGCTTACCTACTTTATGAAAGAGGACTGTTTATATACATTCAAAAGGACTATATACTGTAACAAGGACAAGCTTTCCTCTAAAAGCTTGCCACGTGTCTTGTACCTTCTTAATTGCATTTATCATCTTCATCACTCTAAACTTACCCAAGAAGTTACTTCTCTCTCTACTCTCTGTCTAAGAGAAAGTCCCACTTTAACAAATAAAGAGCACATTTTTTCTTACCTTATTTTTTGTAGCAAGTCTTTTTTTATTGCTATCTATAATTTTGTGTGTATCTTAGATTGTTTAGATACGTTCTATATTCTATATTCCCCAACCAATCTATAAAATTTGTATTGATCTTCTTTATCAATATATAATTTCTAAAAGTAAAGGGCCGTTTGGTTCGTCAGAATCCGTCGGAATCTGATGGAATTGGAATGGTCAATTCTGTTGACCAAATCCCATTCTAATGTTTGGTTACCTATGGAATGGAATTGAATTCCAAAGATTCTCAAATTTGAGGAATTCACCATTCCTTACCAAATCTGGTGGAATTGAATTACATTCCATCCAAAAGTGTTTAAATGACACAAATACCCTTCTGCTCCTATTAAACCCTAGCCGCTGCTTATTGCTTGGATGTTATATGTGAACACTTGTTGGTAACAATATTTATATATGGGTATTTGATGTGTCAACTTGTATGAATGGTTTGGTTTATGGTTGGTTGAATTTTTTTCATGTTTTATGTTTATATATATTTCAATAAATGGTAAACATTTTTTTTCTCATTAAATGTTAATTTTATATTGTTATTTGTATTTAAAAAAATAAATTTTAAAAAAATTGAAGTAAGGGTATTTTTGTCTTTTTTTTCATCTTTCCATTCCAATTCTGTTGGAAACCAAACAGACAAATTTCAATTCATTAGACAGCTTAAATTTCATTCCTGCCAACCAAACACTTGGTCAAACTTGATAATATTTCATTCCAATTCCTTCCAGATTCCAATTCCTTTGACAGATTTCATTCCTTCAGAAATCATTCTGCGAACCAAACACCCGTAAAAGTTACCGTGTTTGTATTCATCCCCCCTTCTACAAACGGTTACCTATAAACTCTTATAGCTCCGGCTGGGACCAACAACTTACCACAACTCAGGTATACCTTCAAGTCACATACTCCCTTAATGACCCACCATCAGAAGAAGATGACATTGTATTCGACTTCTTCCGATATGTATGATCATACAGGTCCACACAAGACGGTGGCATGCCTTTTCTTGCTTTCGTCTACAAAGGCAAATAATTATCCAAACATGTGTTAGTTGTGACATAATAAAAATCAAGCTACTAAAGTAATCAGTGTTAAGGACTTACCAGTTGAGAACTATACATAAAGAACGTGATTGACCAGAAGGTGTATTTAGATATTTCACTGTTAATCTCAGTCATCCAGTTCGTGCTAGCCGCTTTGGATACGCCCTTCCAATGATCGGTGTTCCAACGTCCGATCATTTCAGCCCAGAGCCGTTGATTGAACCAAGCAGGGGGAAGTCCTTCAACAAATTCATATCCCAATCAAGGTCGCTTTCTCGATAGGGACGACCGGCACGAACGGCCTTTTGGCTTGCTCTTTTCCTTGTTGATCAACCCGTCATTATAGTTCTTCATTGATTTAGCCTCCCAAATCTCCAGCATACGGCTGTCTAAGGCTGAATCCTAGCAATAAAACCCCTGTACATAATGTGTTGGTTGATTTTTAAGTTCAAAAGTATAACAAGTTAAATACATACTACAAACTTGAAAGCGCCCCCACATTTAGGCCAGACCTCCCTAGGGATCATCGACCAAGTGCACCCTGCGTGATCAATCATGGATCGGTTAATCTGGATCATATGGCAAATGATGTGCGTGTTGTAAAAGATATATAATTACTTGAATCAATATCGATACCCCAAAACAGTTAATTTGATCAATTAGTTAATATGACACTTAATCGTTGCGATTATCCCGATCCGCATCCTTTACGACCGAAGTTGTTCTGGATTGGTGATGCCACGACCATTTCTAGACTCAAGTTCATCTGGTGTTGAAGCACTACTAGAGACTCCTAGAATAGAAGTCTCCTCTCTACCTTCTAGATTGCTGGAACTGTCCTACCTTCAAAAGGCCAAATGCACGACATCATAGCAAGTGTACAAAACAAAGTTAGAAAACATATAACAATAATTCAAGTATATAACACAACATCAAATTCCACCCAATACGATAAGCCAAACACAAACATTTTGTCTCCAAATTCATAAGGGTAACAAATAAACAACTAAACATTCTTGCCAATAAAGATTTAAAACACATAGACCAAGATTAATAAGACTAAGATTAGCCTAATATTTAATCATCTGAGGAGTTAGACAAGTCAGGTTCTTCGTCCTCTGAGTCACTATCCGAGTGTTCAAACTCTTCTTCTTCGTCACTGCTCTCGTCAACATACTAGTTGTTACGAAAATCATTGGCAATTTCCATGTCTTCTTCATGTGTGACAAGACAGATAGATTCATCCACATCTTTATTTCTTCCTATGGATGTTATTCTATTATTTTTCTTGGAAAAATTATTCACCATGCACATTTTCATCTAACTCATAGATCCTTTTTGGCTTTTTTTTTCCCACTACATGCCACCAATATTTTAATGAGTTCGATGAATATGGTACATAATAGACTTATTCAACTTGTGATGCTAGGATAAACGGATCACCTGAACAAAGTCTTGATATGGGTTTGACGTCAACGACATTATCTCTTGGGTTAAATCGAGCAACGTTCCTTGTATCAAACCATATGCATTTGAAGAGTGGAACAACACAACGGCCAAGTCCATACCCATGATACTCTATCTCTAGGACTTCATCCAACAATCCATAGTAGTCAACCCCATACTCTAAGTAATAGGAGCCTTTCACGCATACTCCACTTTTATGTGTGGTGCGACCGGTACCGTGAGTTTGCATGTGAAACTTGTAACCGTTTGCAAAAAAGCCCGAGTATCTCCAAACATAACGTAGAGGTCTAGCTTCCAACACTTTTAGACGATCGGTAGTAGGGTCGATGGAAGACATAACATATACATGACAAATAATAATAAAAAACATATAAAAAGGACAAAAACCTATAATGAGAATTAATATGTATACACTTATGTAGCTTTCAAACCATCTAGCAAATTGTTCATTTCTAAGTCTATCGAGCCCTGCTCCATCAATAGAAGGCTCTTTCTCACTAACCATATTAGTGAACATTATGCAAAAGGAGAGATTTCTTCACAATTAAGCAAGATGTATGTGTGAGTCATGTGCATATCTTCATCTTCTAGCTGACAATGTCTTCCAACCATATCAAATAATGGAAAACACGGGGTTTTAAACATGCTTAACCGTTGGTCGGAAGACTGACATTTGGGAGCAAAATATCAAGGCTCATGTTTAGCTGCATGTAGATAGTTCGTTAACCAAATATGCCTCCACAATCGACCCTTCTACCCTTGCTCTATTTCTCAATATCATTTTCAAGGACCCTAGACATTTGTCTAGATATACATCCATCTGTATTGAACCACACCCCCCAATTAGTGCCTCACGTGCTAGATGTACCACAAGGTGTTTCATGAATTAAAGAACCCCGATGGAAAGTGTCACGCCCTGATTTTTTTTTCTTTCGAGTGGCGTGATGTCATTCTTAATAACTTATGCCAAGAACAAAATAACTTAAAAAAATTCAAACATACATAATGTGTTTAACATAATTTATTATATCCAATGGATGACCGGATCTGATTCATCGAATATGTTAATTCAATCCAATTTTCTCACAATGAAACAAATTCATTAACACTTTTAATATGTGTTAAAACCAACACAATAGAGGCTAAAAGTTCAAAAACCAACACAATACAAATTCTGATTTAAGCAAATTGAAATCAAAATAATTGGATGATAGTTGGATAATGATAATTGGATGGTTAATCAGGTGGATCACTAGATGGTAATCGAATGGTTAATTGGATGTTAGTTGGTTTTGAATTGCAATCCAAGAACCGACTGATCCCAATTGGATATTGAAATTTTCAATCCGATCGATCCAATTACAATTGAATATCTCATTATGGTAAGTCGGTTCTAATTGAATTTTAATTGGATCGGTTGCCTTTCTGTACACCCCTAACCAAAAAAGGCAAAAAACTTTGTATTCCTCTCTTTAGCATACATGGGAGATTCTTTAGCTAATGAAATTTAATTGGAGGCCGATTTGGTTTGGGAGGTCAATTTGGGATGGGAGCGAATAAGAGGTTAGGCTAGGTCTGATTTTTCGGAACATGATAACACATACGAGCCTCTTAAAAATGGGAAAAAACAAACGATCTGAATGATCATACGTCTTATCGAATCAGACATAAAAGACTAACAAGAAAGGTTTTGTTTAAAACAAACATCTTCTTACTCTAGTCAAACTTGTTATATCTTTTTTGAAGGTGTCCAACCTATGCCTAGACTAATCCCGACAAATTGTAACGAGACAAAAAATCAGACATCTTATTCCAGACAGCGCTTACCAACTATTGTCGGTAAACAACCCCCAAGTCTTTAAAATTTTTAAGTTTTTATTAGACAAATTACTGTAATTGTATTCTTATTCTAAATGATACAATTTTAAATATACATAATTATTATAATTTTTGATTAACCAAATGACGAAATTTTAATCCTAGTAAATCTACCTATTTTTTCAACTCTTAAATATTTATGTATTAATTAATTATAAATTTAGAAATTTAATTTAAATAATTTTAAAAGTATATACTTATTTTTTAATAAACATAACTAGAAATTTAAACCTTAAAAAATTTGGATACTAAAATAAAAAAAATTGAATATTAAAATTTATTAAATAAAAATTGGTAATATTTTATATATAATTTTCCCAAATTAATTTACAAATTTGTCCCAAAAACAACCAAATCCCAACCACCATACAATTATCATCTCCTGCTTCCCTTGCGCTACCATGGCGGCAACTTCATTGCTTCCCGCCATTTCCAACGCCATTGCCCTTTTCAATCCCCTAAATCAACCCCCAAAACCCCTAATTACTCGTTGCTCTCTCGCATCACAATCTCTCTCATCCGCTAAATCTCACCTCCTTGATCTAATTTCCGATCAAAACAGAGGCCTCGCCACCCAATCCGACCGGCGAAAGCTGTCTCAGATCACCGACGCCGTCGACTCTATTGCTCTAATCAACCGTGACCAGCTCACCACCAACGCATCACTCTCTGGTACCTGGCGTTTGCTTTGGACCACCGAGAAAGAACAGCTGTTTATCATCAAGAACGCGAGCTTTTTCGGAACGAAAGCTGGAGACGTTTTGCAAGTGATCGATGTCGAGAAACGCAGTCTGAATAATGTCATTACTTTCCCTCCAGATGGAGTTTTCTTTGTTCGATCTGATATGGAAATTGCTTCACCCCAACGCGTCAATTTTAGGTATACAAACACATTTCTTAATTCATATCAGCGGATGAATTCTAGATTTAAATGAAACGCCACTATTCATTCTACTTGTAGTATTTGTTCTATGTTTAATGAATTCATCAGATTCTTGAAACCGCCAAGAATTCATGTGGATTTTTAAAACTGAAAGTTACTTTATATCTTTGTTGGAATGAAGGGGATAGCAGTTTTAGGTACACACACACTTCCCAATTTGACTTCCGTGGTCAAATCTTTAATATCAAGTTCCAAATCAATACAAATTCTTCTGTCTTTTGAAACAATTTTCATTATGGCATTTAAGTTCATAACCATTGTAAAACCACAAACGGGAAAAGTGTTGGCATTCAAATGGTAGCATGGCCCATTTCAAATTTGAATTTGAATCTAAGGTTTGAACTCAAAAGTCAACGGTGCACTATCATGGAGAGTTTCAAATCCTTTTCTATAAGCTGAATTGTTAAGGATGGTCTCTTTTCCTAGATATGTAACATATTTTGATCATTTTGAGTTGGGGACCCTTGAATAAGCATGAAAACAGTTGCTGACCCCAAATTTGCTTTCGGTGTTAATGTAATGATGATTGCGTGCATGTTTCTTTTGTAGGTTTACAAGTGCGGTTCTACGTGGGAAAGATTGGGAGTTTCCACTGCCACCATTTGGTCAAGGATGGTAAGTTATATGATATCTTTTCAGGTCACTTGTGATCTTGTTACATATGCATTTGGTAAACAACATTGAAAGGCCATACGCTAATGATGTTTGTGCTTCTGTTGCATTTGCATTTGATGAACAACATTGCAAGGTGGTATTCAATGATTAACTATAGATTATGTTGTAACCGATGATCAATCTTTGTGTAACAAGATACTTCCTTTTGTCCAGGAAAGAGATTACAATTAGATTTTATAAAAAATCAAACATATTACTTGCCTACAGTCCATTAAACCCTGCAAGAATTTTCTGTAGAGGATGTGCTATGAAAATTATAATATTCTTTTTTCCGGCAGGTTTCAAAGTCAAAGTTATCTGAATGCCTATTATCATCGTTAGAACTGATTTGGGTCTACGATGAAAAATATTTCTTACTGAAGGGTATTTTAGTTGTTCGATAAATTCTCACACTTTGGTGATGTTTAGCAAACTAGCTGATCTATAGCTGATAAGCTGGATAACAATGTAAAATGGCTTAGAAAGAAAATATAAGAGTATATTTGTAAGGAGCATAATTGGAAAAAGGTGAAAAAATCTCTAATAAGCTATCTGAAGTAACTTTTCAGAAAACTAGCTTATAAGCTAGTTTATGGTTTATCAAATGGGGCTTTTTCAATAAGTTCAAAAAGTAAGCTGGTTTATGGTTGCCAATCATAGCCCTAATTTAAATAATGTATTAAGTCAAACCTGGCAGTTTCCGAAGGATGGAAGGAACACTTCCCACAGACAAATGATAGGGGCTTTGTTACCTGTTCATCACCACCAAATCTTCAATGTGAAGACCTTGTTATGAAGCTATTTTTTATACAATTCTCTTTTTTATATCCACAACTTTGAACTTGCAAAGTGACCTGTTTTTTATAAAAAGAAGTCGAAGGATATCTCATTTTTGGATCGTTGCACTTGGTAATAGCTTAATAGTGAGGACATTAATATGGCTAATGCAATCACAACATTCAAAATTTGGAAAGCTAGTTTGGTGTAACATAGAGATGACTGCATATATCCCACCTCTAGACCCTGCTTTTGAGTTGGGTATACTGTGATTCTTTAGTTTCGCTTGGTTGGTTTAGTCATGTGCAACACCTCTCAGCTTTGTGAAGCCGCTTGTGTCACCTAATAACGCATAGGAACTAGATATATATGTTTATGCCTTCTATATGATTGTTCACCATGATGAAATCGACAGCTGGGTATTGGGTATTTCTATCAATTTCCCCCTTTTTCTCATTCAGTGTAGGAGGGTTGCAAATGTGTGTTATTTAATGTGTGCTGGTTTTCTTCATTGAGAATGAAGTCATTGTCTTTCTGTGGGTTCGAGTCTGAGTACCTTGATGAAGAGATACGGGTCGTAAAGGATATTAGAGGGGATCATCTAGTTGTCAACCATGCCTCCTATTCTTGGACGGAGTAAAAGGTTGATGATGACATATTTACTCCATGCCGGAACAAGTTAACCAAACTAAACAAACTCAATATAAATCCCACTCAAAAGCAAAGTCCGGGAGGGGTAGGATGTAGATAAACCTGTCCTCTACTACAAAGGGTAGAGCGCGTACTTTTGTGACCCCCCCTCCCCCCGCGTGGGGCTTGTGCAAAATGCAAAAGCGCAAGCGATTCCCTCCATCCCAATGAAAAATGTGTCTTTTGAAGTCAACAAATTAGTTTCCAAATCCAAAATTGATGTTGATTTTGTTGTAAACTTAACCCAACAAGTTCCTAATTGTGGTATACATTCTACAGCCATTCGTCACATAAAACATAAAAGATTCACATTTCAAATTGTAAACTAATCGTGAGTGTTTAGGCCAACTTGCAAATATGTACTGATTCTTCTATCTTGGATCAGGTTTGATTCAGTCTATTTGGATGACAATATTCGAATTGCTAAAGACATACGTGGAGACTACCTGATTGTTGATCGTGCATCTTACCAATGGAAAGAGTGAGAGGTAATCGAAATTTGGTTCTAAGTGTTAACAATCACTACGTTTTGTTTTCAATATGTATTTTTGGAACTTGGGTTCTCATACATTTTCTGTATATATATATGTGGTGAAACCAAAATACTTGATCTTGATTTCTGTCGTTTTGGGATACTTTAATTAGATCAATTTTGCAGAAGATGTGAAAATAACGATCATATAGCCTTTATGCATCTATCTTGATATTGGTATTTCTCTCTTTAGCTTGTCTCACCTTTCTACGTATTTTGATGGTGATTTTAACGTCATCAACTATTTGGTGTAATTGTGATTTACTTGATATCGATTAAAGTGATAAAATAAGCAAAGGGAGTTAAGAAGTGAGGAGTGCACACTCACAATTGATTGTCCCCGTCACCTCAGATCGCCGAAAGGTGGGGTTCAAGGGGGGAGCGCTCCCTTGTGGGTCTAAAGGGCAGCGCCCTTGGCGATGGTCCCAGTGACTTTATGAAGAGTCGTACTTAGTGATTTTATGTTTCTGGATGATCTGGCCTAACTTTAGGAGATTGGAAACATCCTCTAAATTGCTTTTGGGCTTGATGGAATTTCACCAAGTATAGTTCTGAGGTAGTGTGATCAGAGTTATGAGTTATCACTGAAATTTCTAAGTCTTGATCAGAGTTGGAGCAATCAAAGCTCCGAACAATAGAACCAGAGTTCTGAACCGGAGGAATTTGACTAAGGCCCCATTTACTAATCTCTTACCACCTCTTACTCGTTAAGAGATGCTTACCCGGGTAAGAGGTAAAACTGTTTACCTAACAGCAAAATCAGCAATCAGATTTCCTGCCTCTGACTGTCGTCTTACTGGAGTCGGCAAAAAAAATGAATCTTATTGTGGTAAGAGGGATGTATTCATTATCTACTCTCTCCATCTAAAACCCTAAATCGGTGGGGAAGAGGGATGTATTCCTTATTTCATGACGTGAGGAAGAGGAACGCCGGCACCATCGGTGGCCATGTCCGATTCAAGGTGTTGGACGGCGATGAGAGGGCGAGCGACGGCCATTTTTGTGGGTCGGGGTGGCAGAGAGAATCAGGGGAACTAGGGTTTTGGGCAAAGAGAAATAGGTGGGGAAGAAGAACGTCGGCGGTGGCCATGTCTGATACAAGGTGTTGGACGGTGACGAGAGGGCGAGCGGCGGCCATTTCTGTGGGTCGGGGTGGCAGAGAGAATCAGGGGAACTAGGGTTTGGGTAAGAGAAATAGGCGGGGAAGAGGAACCCCGGCACCGTCGGTGGCCATGTCCGATTCAAGTTGTTGGACGTTGACAAGAGGGCGAGCGGCGGCCATTTCTGTGGGTCGGGGTGGCAGAGAGAATCAGGGGAACTAGGGTTTGGGCAATGAGAAATAGGCGGGTAAGAGGAACGCCGACACCATCGGTGGCCATGCCCGATTCAAGGTGTTGGACAGTGACGAGAGGGCGAGCAGCGGGTATTTCTGTGGGTCGGGGGTGGCAGAGAGAATCAGGGGAGCTAGGGTTTTGGGCAAAGAGAACTATGGTTTTTGAATGGGGGTTGCCATATCTGATTCAAGTTTTTGAGAAATATAATTAGGCTTAAATGTATATGGGTTAATATGGGTCTGTGCTTTATTAATCTTATCCAAATATAATTGGGCTTAGATGGAATTTGATAAATAACATTTTATGTTAGCACTTAATACAATACATACGTCATACGGTAAACAATAATTTTCAATCAACACTTACTCCAAAAAGAGGGATATAATGGTCTTTTTTACTCAATCAACACTTAATAAAAAATGTTTGGTAAACAAGAAAATGCAATTTGCACCTACTCCAGTCAGACCTCTTACCACAGTCAGACCTCTTACCCGAATCAACACTTAACCAAAAAGATTGGTAAACGGCCCCTAAGTCTATATAGAGCAATCAAATTTCTGACCTTGGAACCAGAGCTTTGGATGTTACCTCCGATTCTGATATAACTGCTCCTAAACCTTATCCGTTAACGATTATAACTACTATACAGTTATATTTTAACCGTTTAACAACCCGTAACCATTGTTCTCTCATATAAATACATAAAACGTGATTTGGTGAATATCTATATATATATTCGAATTTTGTGTCTTAATTCGTGTATAAAGTTTCTGAATTATCCCAAGACATAATAGGGACGAAATACAGTATTTAGAAAGTAACTTTTTAATTCAAAATCCAGAAATTTATTATAAGTAATATGTAACCACAAAACCAGATTCCCATGAGGCTGTTCGGCCATAACCCTACAAACCCCACCAAATTTAGAGAAAAAGTGACCCATGACCATGATGAAGGGAAACACACTCTTCTGGGCTCACCTTTTTGTGGTTTATGGTGGATGAAATTGGTCCCTTTTTAAGATTTGGGCTTTTTGCACCTTTTAGTCTTTAATAATTTCCCACTTGCTTATTTAATGTACCATTGTTTTCCTGCACTCCTCACAAATCCTGACGTTGTGGTCCCAATCAAAACCTTGTGTGATGGGGAATTTAATCATATATTTTTCTTTTACTTTTAGGGAATTTATCTAATCATTGATATTACCAATATTCTAAAATGCTCGCCATGACAACTGATATGACGACTGACGCCCCATGACCATGACTTAAGGCTCATGTCTGACGCCATGTTAAGCTCGTAGTACGTTATTCCCAAAAACGTATTTTTTGTAACATGATACTGATTTTTCTGACATTTTTTATAGGTCATGCTATAAAAAAACATGGTTTCGTAGTGACTTCTAAGGCTTGAAGTTTGACTTTGCTGTCACGCTTCACGTCATTTAGAATCTTGATTAATTACTGATTGTTTTGGGATATTATATAAAAAACTTTCTCATCATTACAGTGGATCTTAAAAAAATGAGATTTTTTATCGAGTAAAGTATATACTTCATCTTTTAGCCCATAAGCTTAAAAGTATCGTATGTGCTTCTTGGAAAAGATTCGGCTCAGAATTATTAAAGAATTCTTTATGAAAAAAGAGCACGTTTTTTCCATGACCTTTTCAAAGATGTCTTCAATTTCACAAAGGTTGTCTAGAAGGCTTTCGTATTTTTAGTTTAAAATTCTTCAATTATTTAGGTCACACCTCCATCGTCTCATAACATATTCTTCAGATATAGATTCAATATAAGCATTCATCAGGATTTAAATTTCTTTACCGTTGGTAAAAAAATTATGGTAATTAACTGATGTAACTGTTATTTCGTGACATTTTTTATATTCTTATACGCAATGCACCAATCAAGAGTTCGTGATGGCGATTGCGTCGTGAAGTTATAACATTGTTTACCTCAGCTTAAGCATCAATCGTCATATTATGATGGATGGATTCTTAAATTATATCATCTTATAGCTCCCGAAACGTAACATACTCGGTTTCGGGATCAGAGGTAAATTTTTTGTTAGTCGTATCACAAAAAAAATATCGTAATACAAAATAAAATAAAAATAGACATTGTTATAAAATAATTGCAGGAACTCAATTTTTGATTATTTAAAGCCTATAAATTGAATATTTACTTTATTAGGGTTAGGTTCCGTTGATAAGGAGAGTTAAAATGAGAAGCATAAGAAAAGATCTTCGTCCTTGCATGCACATCAGGATGAGATACACTGAGATGCACCAGATCAATCCATGTATCAAGCATGATTCATTGGTGAGTTTAAGATTAAAGGTGATCAATGGTCCAAATTCATTTTTACGCTTCTCACACGATCTTTCACCTACGTCATTAATATAATGATACACTCATTTTTTTTCAAAAAACTATCTATTAAAACTTAAACCAGTCAATTGTAGTTGTACTTCCACTTAGGTATCTACACATGATATGTTTCTTTTAAAAGAATCTTTCCATCCTTAAACAATTAACAACATTAAAAATTTACCCGGAGCAAATAACTTTAAAATCTAAAGAGTTAGGGGCCGTTTACCAAATATTTACTTGGGTAAGCGTTTACCAAGTCATATTACCTCACCGGATGATTATGGCAGAGACTAAGAATCTTACCCGGTAAGAACGAGACAAGGACCATGAGTCTTACCCGGTAAGTGAGGGCGACGACTCTTACCACGCGAAGCGCTTACCGGGTAAATTGTTGTATACTATGTCGTTTTGGTGGACTAAAATCTTACCCAGTAAGTACATAATAGTGTTAAATTTTACCGGTAAGCACTTACCGGGTAAATGTTTGATAAACAGCCCCTTAGCCTTTTCAATATAAACACGTTAACTCTAAATTAACCTTAAATAAATGTGAGATCAGTCGTTGAATATGGCTTTGTGCAATCTTTTGCTGAATGACTTTGTTAAGCCATCGTTGAATTTTGCCATACGTTATCTGTAACTAAATGTGTCCCTGGGTAATCCTTCGTTGATTTTGAGTTTTGCACCGACTATTCATTGATAGTTTGAAATAATTTGACCCTTTAGTGACGGATTTTTGAAGAAACATTCCGTCAGTAAAAGTCTTTCATTTAACAGTTAGAGTTAACCCCAAATTAACGTTACACAAATAACCCTAAAGTCAAAGAGTTAACTCTGTGTTCTCGAAACCTTTTTTTATGAAAGAAGTGAAAGGAAACCGGAGAAAAGGGGAGGAAAGTAAAAACAAAAAGCTATGTGTTCATGAAATTTTATTAGGAAATAATGGAAAAGAAATGAAGGGAAAATAAATATAAGTTTCCTTCCAAAACTTTCCTCCCAAACGTGGGACGAAAGGGAAGGGAAGGAAAGAAAATAAATTAAAACCCTTTGAAAAAATTATTAAAATTACAAAATTACTCAATCTTTCATATCAAATGATATATTTTTAAAGGATATATCAGTAAAAACAACAATTTTCCCTTCCTTTTTCTCCTTTTCAAAAATATGAAAAATTATTTTATTTCCTTCCCTCTCGTTCCTTTTCATTCCCTTTCGAGAACACAACTAAAAAAATTATTTTCCTTTCCTTTCTTTTCCATTGAAAAATATTTTATACTTTCACTCAACAAAATTTTTACGGTTTCACCCAACGAAAAATATGGTTGCACCGTCAAATAAGTAAAATAAATTTACAGTATGCACAAGTTCTAAATAGCGTGAGTCCTGGCGTGGCGGCAAGGTCAAGCCTCAAGTCTT